GCCTTCAGAGATCTTGCCTACCCTTTTGAGAGGTCTACACTCTGATTCCAGGAAAGGAGAAGGGTCATGGAAGGCTGGGGGGTTGAAGAGATTATGAAGAGCCATGTACAGATGAGACATAGTTTATTCATTGGCACGCAGTCCACTAGAAGGCAGGTACATGGGCCCATAGACAGAAACACACAGGCAGGCTGGTGAAGGTGAAGGCCTCTGACCTCAGGGCCATATTTAAACAAAATCCACATAAAAGTGGCACTGTGCCAGAAACACTTCTATAACAGATTATATCACTGCTTACTTTTGTGTTCCCTGAACATCTGGTATCAGCATTTTTGTACTGACTCAGTCACCCAGAAGCCCAGCATCAGCCATCTTGGCTCATGCTGGATACTCATATCACTGCCATGTTGTCTAACCTAAACTGGACTTACATCTACATAAACTGTTTCCTGTTTCTTTATAAAAGACTTAAATTACATGGATGGTATAATGTTAGCTTCTGAGTATTTCACATCTGAGAGAGTCTTACATCTGAAAGATGTTCAGGCACACATAAAGGAGCAATGATAGGAAATCAGTCGCCACAGGGTGCAAAGGCTGGACATGTTTATGGTTGGGTAAGGTGCAGATGATACTCAATAAGGTAACTGAGAAAATGCTACTCTGTGCCTATAAATGTTTTTTAAAATGGTTGAAGAGTTTGAGCAAAGGTATTCTGGGTAGGTGGGAAAAGACACTTCTAAAAAGTCATAAAAATCCCAGCGCCAGGCACGGGCTCTCTCTCTATGAGACCCCTACAATACAGGCTGTTACCACTGCTGTTAGTTGCTCACCAGAACTACATGGTAAGATCCTATTACTGAAGACACCTATATGCTTTGGTTTCAGGGCATGGAGAACTGGGCCTGAGCTGGAAGCTTCCTCCCTGATAACTAGCTTTCATAGTGCCAGAAGGTACAATGTAGTCTGCTGGGGAAGGATTGTTGCTAACATCAACATACTCTGTTCCAAAGGCCAAAAATGTCAAAAGTATTTGGGAGTTTGTATCCAATCCTTAAAAGATTTTAGCGTTACCTCTTCAGAGGGGGGAATGTTGGGGGAGGGGAGGAGTGGGCATGGATTTGATCAAAACACCTTATATGCATGTATGAAATTCTCAGTAAAGTTTTTGTAAAAGTTAAAAAAAAAATTGTTGCTAACAGTCCTCTACAGTTGCACCCCCCGCCACACCCCTGCATGCTGAAGTACCAAAATGCCAGGTGAGATATGTTCACTGATGTAATGGAGGCATGACTGTTATGGGTGCAACCAACAACTTTCTGATTGTATTAAAGCCCCCTCCAAAAGAGGGTATTCAACATGTAGTTCTGTAAGCAATAAGATTTAGGTACTGTAGTCCCCTCCTCCCAAAAAACTATTTATTGTGTGTGTGTGTGCAGGTATGTGTGGGTGTATGTATGCCCTGGTGCCCATGTGGAGGTCAGAGGGCAACTTGTGGGAGTCAGTTCTCTCTTTCTACCATGTGGATTCCAGGGATCAAACTCCAGTCATCAGGTTTGGCAGCAAGCCTCTTTTCTCACTGATTTATTTCACTGGCTCAGGTTTTCTGTTTCATTTTGGTTTGTTTTGATTTGTTTTGGTTTTTGAGACAGGGTCTCCCTGTAGCTCCAGCTGGCCTGTAAATCATAATGTAGACAAGGCTGGCCATGATCTCATAGAGCTCTGCCTGCCACTGCCTGGGATTAAAGGTGTGTGCCACCACAGCTGGCTCAAAATTGTATATATCTGTCTGTGCACATGAGCACAGGTGCCCATGGAGACCAGACGTGTCAGATCCCCTGGAGTTCAAGTTACAGGCAGTTGTGAGCCACCTGATGTGGGTTCTGGGAATTGAACTCAGGTACTCTGCAAGAACAATACATACTCTTAATCTCTGAGCCATCTCTCTAATCCTGTAGTATTTAAAGGCTTGATTCTCATTAGTACATAAGCACAGTCTCAGTCTCAGGTTGCAACACAACAATCACCTTTTTTGGAATGTTACTTTTATTCCCTTTTAACTTAACTTCTGATCTCTTGATTATTTCCTACAATATTATGAATTAGACTTGTTTGAATGCTGAGTTTCCACCCTTCTGGATCTGCTTATTGGATCTGGAGTTTATTTCTTTTCCTTGTCCTGGATCTTGTAGGCTATGAGGAAAACTCCTTACAGAGATATTTTGGAAACTGGACTTTTAAAATGAGTGCATGTAGGAAAATACTGTCCAAGCACAGAGGGCTCTGTTTTTGTCTCTACTTATTTCTTAAGCTTCTGGGGGTGGGTAGAAAAAATTACAGGTCAAATCTCTTTACAAGTAGATCAACTGAAGTATCTAAATACATGGTTTGAAACAGATTTTTGTTTTACGAACTATGGCATAAACTAAGTTAGACAATAAGGTGAATCATGGAAGACTTACTACTAGAGATTTTCATCACAAAGGTATTTGTTGTAGGGGAATTTACCCAGGAGACACTGAACTCTTCTAGCTAATTTCTTTGCCAGGCTGATTCATGTTGGATAGAGGGAGTGGGAAAACACTGTGGACACAGTCTGCTGGCAGAAGGTCAAAGCTGAAGAAAGAAAGTACAGGCAAAGATCTGTGTGAAATTTGAATCTGAGTCACACAGGAAGAAGAAAATAGCATGTCTCATCTTGGGGATAAAGAACCCTCTTCTTAGGGCCATTTCTTTTGGCTGTAACTGCTGCCTCTCCCACTGGAAAGCCTGATTTGTTGGCTCTCCCTGATGCGTTTTCAGATTTAAATTATTTATGTAATTAATTAATTTTTAAATGTGTGTGTGTGTGTTGCTTGCATGTATGTATGTAAGTGCACCTGTGATGTGCAGTGCCTGTGGAGGTCAAAAGAGGATGTTGGATACCCTGGAACTGGAGTTATGGATGGTTGTTAGCCAGCCACCTTGTGGATGCTGGGAACTGCATCTGGGTCCTCTGAAAGAGCAGCCAGTGTTTTAACTGCTGAGCCAGCCCTTCACTCCCACATTTTCAGATCTAGATGGAAGCTTCCTTCAAGCAAATTCCTTCCTCTCAAAAAAGAAAAGAAAATGATTCTGGTTTCTAAAGAACCTGGGTCAGAGTTTGACCGAATCTGAGATAGCATCCTAGAGCTGGAGCTGGGAATGTCTGCAGTCAGAGCCGCAGTTTGCTCCACTGGCACCCCCTTATGTATGAGAATGGAACTGCACTCTTGGAAATTGTCTCGCTTACCTTTGCTGTACCCTAGACACAAGATTACTGACCAAAAGCTGGTCATTTCTAAAGCTGTTCTACGGCCACGTCCTATAGATTTCAGAAGGCGAATGTACAACGCTTTGTTGGCCTTCTGATTATTGCACACCATTTTCCAGCCGATGCAATGCTTTGGAAAGTAGTACCCACAAAACTTTGGTTTTTATAAAGCTTATCAAGTTATGTTTCAAATATTCGTTTTCCCTTTAAGCTTTGATTAGTCTCAAAATGATGCTCCAGTTCAACTGGCACTACACAACTTCTTGGAAATGTTCTGTGAATAAGACACAGTAAGGCAAAGGATGAACATCCCCAAAAGCAGGGCAAAGAAAGTAGGAACTTCTGTCAGATTTTCTGAATTTACCCAGGCCTCTTTTTCTCTGAGCCAGAGAATGAACTGATAATGATATTAGCATCATCCTTTTCAGCAGTTTTAGATGCAATAAGAAAGCAAATCTTCTCGGTTTCTTTT